TGACCAGAGACTGCGGACAGTACAGGGATGACCAGAGACTGCGGACACAGTACAGGGATGACCAGAGACTGCGGACACAGTACAGGGATGACCAGAGACTGCGGACACAGTACAGGGATGACCAGAGACTGCGGACACAGTACAGGGATGACCAGAGACTGCGGACACAGTACAGGAGATGACCAGAGACTGCGGACAGTACAGGGATGACCAGAGACTGCGGACAGTACAGGAGATGACCAGAGACTGCGGACACAGTACAGGGATGACCAGAGACTGCAGACACAGTACAGGGATGACCAGAGACTGCGGACAGTACAGGGATGACCAGAGACTGCGGACACAGTACAGGGATGACCAGAGACTGCGGACACAGTACAGGAGATGACCAGAGACTGCGGACAGTACAGGGATGACCAGAGACTGCGGACACAGTACAGGGATGACCAGAGACTGCGGACAGTACAGGAGATGACCAGAGACTGCGGACAGTACAGGAGATGACCAGAGACTGCGGACACAGTACAGGAGATGACCAGAGACTGCGGACACAGTACAGGAGATGACCAGAGACTGCGAACAGTACAGGAGATGACCAGAGACTGCGGACAGTACAGGAGATGACCAGAGACTGCGGACAGTACAGGGATGACCAGAGACTGCGGACACAGTACAGGGATGACCAGAGACTGCGGACAGTACAGGGATGACCAGAGACTGCGGACACAGTACAGGAGATGACCAGAGACTGCGGACACAGTACAGGGATGACCAGTGACTGCGGACAGTACAGGGAAGACCAGAGACTGCGGAAAGTACAGGAGATGACCAGAGACTGCGGACAGTACAGGGATGACCAGAGACTGCGGACATAGTACAGGGATGACCAGAGACTGCGGACAGTACAGGGATGACCAGAGACTGCGGACACAGTACAGGGATGACCAGAGACTGCGGACAGTACAGGGATGACCAGAGACTGCGGACACAGTACAGGGATGACCAGAGACTGCGGACAGTACAGGGGATGACCAGAGACTGCGGACACAGTACAGGGATGACCAGAGACTGCGGACACAGTACTGGAGATGACCAGAGACTGCGGACACAGTACAGGGATGACCAGAGACTGCGGACACAGTACAGGAGATGACCAGAGACTGCGGACAGCACAGGGATGACCAGAGACTGCGGACACAGTACAGGGATGACCAGAGACTGCGGACAGCACAGGGATGACCAGAGACTGCGGACAGTACAGGAGATGACCAGAGACTGCGGACAGTACAGGGGATGACCAGAGACTGCGGACAGTACAGGGGATGACCAGAGACTGCGGACAGCACAGGGATGACCAGAGACTGCGGACAGCACAGGGATGACCAGAGACTGCGGACAGTACAGAGATGACTGCTGACCTTTGGGGAGGGAGGGGGAGCGGGGAGCGGGTACCTTAATTTGACAGGTACCCGCTCTTACTTCCGCAGAGTTTTTTTTTTATCTTACCTGTTCCTTTATCCAGCCGCGCGCTGTCTTCCCGGCTTCTGTAGTGTGGGCGCTCGTCGGACAGCCGGATGCCCAGTGCGCATGCGCAAGAAGCGCTGCGCTTTGTGATTGGTCCGGCGGCTTCTGGGATCTGTCATGTGTCCCAGGTACCGCCTTACCATTCACAAAGGGCACTGCTTCTTGTGCATGCGCACTTGGGACCCGGCTGTCACGCACACTACAGCCGGGAAGACAGCGCGCCGCTGGATTCTCCTGGCGTGCCCACAGATAAGGCTCGGCGTGCCGGCTGTGGCACGCGTGCCACGGGTTCACCATCACTGCCCTAGGGTATTCAAAGAAACATATTGTATAGATGACATAATTTAATAACAATAGGGCAAATAATGAAGGAGGGCCATTGCACCAGCAGTGCCAGCATTATGCAATGTACAACACAGAACAAGCATAGAAGCAACACATGAAGCAACTTGCAAGTATTTGGAGAACAGTACCACATAATAATCAGAATAACACTAGAAAAAATTTTAATTACCTTATGAGTGAAAAATCATTCATGTATCAGATGCAAAAAATTAGTGCAGAAAGTATATGAGCAAAAAATCACCTCCAATTACTATTCTATAATCAATGTCCAAATTAAACATCAATCCATATATCATAAATGAACCAATATTACAGAAAATAATCAAGCAATGTTGACAAATAGATATGTCCAATCCATAAAGTGTATGTCCAAATTCTTATAATTTCCAAAACAGAGCAAGGAAAAAAGGAAAGAACACCAGCTGTGTACGAACCTCCACCCTTATGCATTCACCAAAGGGCTAAAATACATATGTATGTATTATAGCCAGCGTTGTATAATCCAAGCACTAACTCCAGCGTTCCAATCCCTGGTCACCACTCACACCTTTTCTCTGTTCAGAAGAGACTCCTGGATTAGACCCAGGAACTCTGAACTCCTGTTTTAGGCCCCAGATTACTTATGGGCTCTCCAAACACCTACTGGACACACCTCCCTGGGGATCGGCTGGAGTCCCACAAATATTCAGACTGCTTAATCTGTTCTTCATCCCGCTATAATTCTAGAATCATCTAGAATACAGGGTAAGCAATCAGAGCAGCAGCCTGTGAGATACTAAGCAGGCCTGAATAATCAACCCCTGCTTCACTGACTACAGAGGAGCTAACTAAATGTGTCTACAATTCTACACTACAGTAGGAGGGTGCTACACCTTCAACTATAATTAACAAAACCTGCCAGTGCCTATAAGCCTTTTACAATTTGTCAGCAGCACTTCCTGTGCTTTTCCTACCACAGCTAAAGAACATTGTCAATATTGCTGCTGCTTATCCAAAAAAGACCTTCTAAACCAGCTTTACCTAACAAAAATCAGGCAATGCATTATGGTTACAAAGAATTCAGTCTAGCAAATACCTGCATTAATTCACCAGAACCGCAAATCTCAAATTTTATGATGGCTGTAAATCTAAACCTTATTCCTACTAATTACTAGACATCTCTGGCTGCTGGAAGCCACGTGCTGGTGCACACCAATGTAGCCATTTTCAAATCCAGAAACCTAAGTTCCACCCACAGATAGTCCAGAAAACCTACAGATACTTCAATGTGTGATTTGCTATGGAATGTATGCTGCAGCGTCTGAATGTATGCCAGCTAAGCCATGGTGTGCCCAAAATAAAAATGTGATTTTCTTTAATGTTTTGGTGCCTATCAATTTTTAACATTTTTAATGCACATGGAATAAACAGTAGGAATAAAACTGAAGTCCAAACATAAGTCAGTATATGAGAGTCTATACATGTGTGTGCATAATTGAGAGTCCAATGATAAATATATATATTTTTCAAAGACAGCATGGCATACTCTGCGACTGTGCTTGGGCCATATGTGTTTCAGTGCATAATAGGCTAATAAATTTAGGGTTTGTTTAGGAAAAAAAATGATGCATGCATGTCTTAGTACACTATACCTACTTGAGGCAGGATATCCTTAAGGATTTATGTATACTTTTGTACATTGGTCAAGTAAACATAACCAAATTATATCCTAACAATATTTACTTGAAGTAGAGGTTCCAATGATAAATACTAGTGTATAGATTCTTGTTTTCCTGTGGAAGCAAGGTCTAACGGATTTTTAAACTCAGTACTTTGATTGGCACCTACACATTTAATTGCTTAACAAGAACATTCATTTGCTTAACGAGTGTATTTCATTACTTAATGAGTTTGTCTTAGTCCACTTTATCAGAACAGAAGGCACAAAAGCTGCTTTATTTGTATGTTCAAAGTGTAAAGCTCCATCTACACAAATAAGATGGATGGAGGAATCCCCTCCCGCCGGGACCTTGGATTCTGAAAGCTGGATCCTTTTGTTCATTTGCTTTATTAAGACATATTACAGTGTACTTGTATACCACAAGTAGATATTTTTACAATAGATACATTTTATTGGACTGATAAATAATAAAGGTAAGTCACAAATCTATACAAAGCCCCCTACCACTCCAAAAGAGATAGGATTTAATGACAGTATAGAAACAATGCACCTACTAAGGATTAGGGTTTGAAATCAATTCACAGGTTGTTCAGCAAACTAATTGTAAAATGTCATGCTTGTGCTACTTTGTACGGGGTCTCTGCTGGAACCACAGACCAAGCAAAACCTTGCTAAGTACTTTTTGCTTTTATCTCCATTTATTTTACTGTAAATAAAATTGTCTGCTTTTTAATAGCTTACTTCTAAATGCTCTAAACCAGAAATAAAATAATCCCTGTCTAGTTGAAAAGCACTGCTATATTTCAGCCTCTGTCATATCCCTGATTGATGGCAGTGTGTATTATTATTATCATACAGGATTTATATTGCATCAATAGTTACAATAAACACAATATAGCATCAAAACAATTACAATACAATTCCAGACAAGAGCGCTAGGAGGGCATACTGTATTACAGACATAGTTACATGCTTTAGTACAGCGGTCACTTAATGTTGGACTGCGGTCCGAGAACGGCGCCAGCAGTGCTCCCTTCTGGACCGCCAGCTCGCAAAGACAGATCCGCCGCTGAGCAGGGCAGTCGTCACAGCAACCAATGACATCACATGTGTGCCCTGCCCTTTGCATCTCACTGTTTCTCCGGCTCCCGCTCCCTGCCTGTACACAAGCATACTTCAGCAAGGATCCTGGCACAGCTCCTGTCTGCTCTCAAGGTAGGGTGTAGTCTTACAGGGGCACTCTGATGGGCACATTTAATGTGAAAGGGTCATGCTGATGGGCACATTTAATGTTAAGGTGCACTCTGATGGGCACAACATAGAATGTGTCCATCAGATTGCTCCTTAACATAAAAAGTACCCATCAGAGTGCCCTTTAATATAAATGTGCTCATCAGAGTGCCCCTTAATATAAATGTGCCCATCAGAGTGCCCCTTAACATAAAATGTGCCCATCAGCATCCCACTTATTTTATGCTAAGGGGCACTCTGACGGGCCCATTTTATGCTAAGGGGTACGCTGACGGGCACCTTTAATGTTAAGGGGCACTCTGATGGGCATCCTTTATGTTAAGGGGGCACTCTGATGGGCACCTGTTTTGTTAAGGGGGCACAAATGGGCACATCCGATGGAAAGGGGCAGACTGATTGGCACATGTGATGGAAAGGGGCACTCTGATGGGGAATATGATGTAAAGGGGCACTCTGATGGGGAAATATGATGGAAAGGGGTACTTTGAGTGTAAGGGGCACTCTGACGGGAATACCTGATGTAAAGTGGCAATGTGATGGGGATACCTGATGAAAAGTGGCAAACTGAGATGGGGATACCTGATGTAAAGGGTAACTCTGATGAGCACACCTGATGTGATGGGAATACATGATGTAAAGTTGCACTCTGATGGTGACATCTAATGTAAGGGGGCACACTGATGGGCACATCCTATTCAGAAAATTTTAGTGACCTGACCTCCTTGAATTTTATTTCAATACCCCTGCTTTAGTGGATAATGTTGGAAAAACACACAGGTCCATCCATTACAATTTGAGTCTGTGCCAGTTTGAGTTTTATAGGAATATACAGCCCTGCCCAAAAGTTTTGAGAATGACACAAATATTAATGTACCTGCAGGGAAACATGTGGAGTCATCATTGCTTTTCACAAAAAGGTATTCACAGGTAAGGATATTGCTGCTACTCAGGGCCGTATTTACTTCTTGCCGACCCGGCATAGCCGAATATTTACCGCGGCCGGCCAGGAGTGGGCACGTCCTCCCAGAACGCGCTCTCCTGCGCGCCCCACAGATCTCCTGATCGCTGGTCCTACGGACACAGCTGATCACGTGATGTTGTGAAAGGCCGATCCCAACCACGTGATCAGCTCCAATGACACGCTGATCACAGGGAAATGCAAGTGCCGGTTCTCGGCTGCACTTTCCTCACGCTGCAGACCGTGAGGAAAGTACTGCCGAGAACCGGCAGTTGTCAGAGCGGGGATCGGCACCGATCATCAGGGCACTGAGATCAGTGCCCTGATGATCGGTGCCCAGCAGTGACACCCGCAAGTTCCGCCCAGCAGTGCCCACTAGGGTTCCCAGCAGTGCCCCCATCTGTGCCCAGCAGTGAGGCCCAGCAACCTGTGCCACTCTGCAGTCCTACCTGTGCCCAGAAGTGCCACCTACATGTGGCAGTGCCACCCACCTGTGCCCAGCAGAACCTGTGCCCACCAGTGCCACCCACCTGTGCCCACAGTGCTGCCCACCAACCCACCACAAAGTGCTAAAAGTCAGTGCCACCAGTCAGTGCCCAGGGGTTGTGCCAGTCAGTGCCGCCAGTCAGTGCCCAGAAGTGATGCAGTCAGTGCCGTCTATCAGTACCCCATCATCAGTGTCACCTATCAGTGCCGCCTATCAGTGCTGCATATCAGTGCCCCAGCCTATCCGTGACCCCTAATTAGTGCTGTCTATCAGTGGCCTATCCGTGCCACCTCATTGTACTGCCTATCAGTGCCCTATTAGTGCCCTGTGCCCATCAGTGCCGCCTATCATGCCCATCAGTGCCGCCTCATCAACGCAAATGTGAAGGAGCCTGTTTGAAAAAATTTTAAAAGAAACAAAATAAACTTTTTTTTTTTTTTTTCAAATTTTTTTGCACGTTTTTAAATTGTAAAGCGCCCAGTGGCAATTAAATACCACCAAAAGAAAGCTCTATTTGTGAGAAAAAAAATCAAAATTTCATATGTACATTTGCATGGCCAATTGTCAATCAAAGTGCGGCAGCGCTTGAAAATTGGCCTGGTGGAAGGGGGTTTAAGTGCCTGGTAGGCAAGTGGGTTAAGGAGGGCAAAAGGGACAGCTGCCCTGGGCCCTATCATTGTTGTGGGCCCAACACCCTAACAATCGTTCTGTAGCTGCAGGGAAAGGGAAGTAGTAAGCCAGACAGCAGTGGCAGGGGAGGTGAGGGAGCATCACAGAGAGGAGGCAATGGTGGGGATGAGCATGAATAAATTTTGCTAGGATGCCATTGGTACTTCCTGTGTCCTAGCACCCAAAGGCTGTGTGCCATTTGTGTCCTAGCAACATGACATTTGTGGCCCTTGAACAGTGGGATTCAAGTTTAATTTAGTGAAGTAATAGTTGTCATGTAATGCAGCAGCAGGTTCAGGTGGGAGAGCATGAAAAAAATTTTGCCATTTACTTCACCCTGTTAGCAAACCTTGAACAGTAGGAGTTTAAGATGAATCACCCTGAACTCGGATGTCATCTCATCCCTACTAAGAAGCAATGGGGTTTAATCACTAAAGTTGGAGAGTGCAAAATCAGCTTCTAACCTCAGCTTGTTCAAATAGGGCTTTGGCAATAAAACCTAAAAAGCTAATTGGATTCTATGCAAAAGTGAACCTGATTTTGCACTCTCCAGCTTTAGAGCTGATTCATACATGTGCAGTATGAATTGACCCACATGGAAAAAAAATATATTTGAAATATATTTTTTAAAATATTCTTCCCAAATATATTGACATATATTTGAAATACTACCATTTTGGCCATATTCAATATATTTCAAGATATATTTAAATATATATATATATATATATTATATATATATATATATATATATATATTGAAATGCGTTTTTATTACAAAATATATGTGAAAAATATTTTTAAAAATACATTTTTAAATATACTGTATGTCTTTATAAATACAAATCTACATTTTTAGAATGCATTTACAAATATATTTAACAATATATGTTAACATTACTTTTTTATATGTTAAAAAAAAATCTGAAGAATATTTTTAAAATATATATATTTTTATATATATATATTATATATATATATATATATATTCTTCACATTCCTTATTTAATTGTGTCCAGTGCTTTGTAACACGTGTAAATGTATATACAGTGTATATATATATATATATATTATATAATATATACAGTTGTGTCCAAAATTATTCAACCCCCACTGAAATTGAGTGTTTTTTTTGACATTGCTTTTGATCATTCATCATCTTGCTTACATTTACATTAAAGAGGCACTTGTAGGTCAGACAAATATAACATAACAGTTTATAATGAAATAACCACAAATGTCTTTTCTGTGCTCACAGCATTATCAGTTTTATTCAACCCCCAAGTGACATTCAATCTTAGTATTAGTTACAGCATCCTTTTACAGTTATAACAGCTTTTAAACGTGAAGCATAGCTTGACACAAGTGTCTTGCAGCGATCTACGGGTATCTTCGCCCATTCTTCATGGGCAAAGGCCTCCAGTTCAGTCACATTCTTAGGCTTGCGCACTGCAACTGCTTTCTTTAAGTCCCACAGAGGTTCTCAATCGGATTTAAGTCTGGTGACTGCGATGGCCACTCCAAAATGTTCCAGCCTTTCCTCTGCAACCATGCTCTAGTGGACTTGGAGGTATCATTGTCCTGTTGAAAGGTCCAACGTCTCCCAAGCCTCAGGTGTGTGACGGACTGCATCACGTTTCCATCCAATATCTCCTGGTACTGAAGAGAATTCATGGTACCTTGCACACGCTGAAGCTTCCCTGTACCTGCAGAAGCAAAACAGCCCCAAAGCATGATTGACCCTCCACCATGCTTCACAGTAGGCAAGGTGTTCTTTTCATCATAGGCCTTGTTCTCTCCTCCAAACATAGCGTTGATCCATGGGCCCAAACAGTTCTAATTTTGTTTCATCAGTCCACAGAACACTATCCCACAACTTTTGTGGTTTGTCCACATGGCTTTTGGCATACTGCAGTCGACTCTTCTTATTCTTTGGAGACAGCAAGGGGGTACGCCTGGGAGTTCTGGCACGGAGGCCTTCATTACGCAGTGTGCGTCTTATTGTCTGGGCTGAAACTTCTGTACCCACATCTGACAAATCTTTTCTCAGTTCCTCAGCAGTCACACGGGGACTTTCTCCACTCTACGCTTCAGGTAGCGCACAGCAGTCGAAGTCAGCATCTTCTTTCTGCCACGACCAGGTAGCGTTTCAACAGTGCCCTTTGCCTTGAATTTGCGAATGATGCTTCCTAAGGTGTCTCTTGGTATGTTTAACATCTTTGCAATCTTCTTATAGCCATTGCCCTTCCTGTGAAGAGAAATCACCTCTTCTCTTGTCTTCCTGGACCATTCTCTTGCCTTCACCATGTTTGTAACCACACCAGTAAATGTCTAGAAGGAGCTGAGTATCACAGTCATTTTAAAGCTGCCTAATTGGTGCTTATTATGCTTGATTGCTGCTCGGTGACATCCACAGGTGTTTTCAATACCTGATGGAAAGCACCTGTATGAACCTCTGTTCTTCAGAGTGGTAGTCTTTAAGGGGTTGAATAATTGTGGCAATGAAGAAACCACATAAGAACCATTTACTACTGTATTACATAAACAATTGATGTCATTTTAGTTGCATTTGGGTAGTTACAACGTCCTTGTAGGATTTGATTCTGAATACAATTCCAAATGTACACTATAGTCCCTAAACCCCTTTACAGCATTGGGGGTTGAATAATTTTGGACACAACTGTATGGCAAGTGATACTTAAGCCTGATTTGCTATTGAAAAATGTAAGTTTCAAATGCACAACAGATGGGACATGATCAGGTGGACTGATAGGTGGCAAATTAGCAGGCACACTTTGTAATTATGGTCAAAGATTGGACAGGTGAATAGGCATGATTAGCGAAACGATCATCTGTTGCTCAATAAATATGCCCCACAAAACTCAAAGTTTACTTTAAAGCTACAGACCTCATTACCATAAAAATATAGTTTATCTCCACCCTTACATTATGCCACTGCTGCTGGATACTGTGCAGCAGCTTGTTATGTGACTTTGTTTTGCTTTCTTTGGACTTTATATGTAGTGGATGCTTGCTGGCACTCTTTTAAATAAGTACTACACATGAACATATTTTACTGGCTGGTTAGGTGAGCTTTTTCCTTTGATAGAGTGTGGTAGACATGTGCAGTTTGTTTTGTTCCGAATCGAAATTCAAAATTTTCCATTATTCGGATGAATCTGAATTCTGAATTACAATAGTAATAAATTTAAACGAATCTGATATAACAAAACTAAATTTGGTCGAAATGTGAATCGATTCAAACTCGAAAACAAATTCAAATTTGAAGTCATCAAGGCAGCTACATGAGCAACTTAATAAAGGACCCTCCCATCTGCAGTAGAGAAGAGAGAAGACTCAGCACTTGATGCATCATGAATTCAGGTAAGCAAAATGGGCCTTTACTACAAATTTTCCTAAAACTATTCCTATGGATTAGGGTGGGAGATGAGGGGGTTCCTGAACATGGGCTTCAAACGTGTAGACTTCAAATTAAAGCAATGACTCATTTAGCCAATAAGTATTAGCAAAGGATTGAAGCGGGCTTCATCAATGGGATACATTAATGTACATCTGGCAGAA